CTAATTGATGTTCCTAACCCTGAGGACAAACTTTGTTGGGAGAGAAGATGTCGTCTTCTAGAATAACCTCCAGCTGTTATAGGGGCAATGTTCTTTCTATAGGACCCTGTAGAATAACTTTTCAAAAACAAAAGCCTGTGTGAGAAATTTTATATTCACAATACAGCAAATTATTAAGTGTCCTTTTACAAACCTGAGTCAGCAAATCAAATAAAAATTTATTTTTTAAAACATCAAGGAAATGAATTACTTGCTATGTAATGACTGAGTGTTTTTAGTAATGTTTACCTTACTTGCTATAAATTAAATTTTTGTTCTGTAATGATAATATATGTGACCTAGACAGAAATTCTTATTTTGAGAGCATAAACTCTCTTTCCTACAGTCTCCAAAATCTTGCAATTTGTGCTTTCAGATTAACATTACATTTTACCCTGATGTTCACAAACATACTTCAAGAATAATTAGAGACCAGTAAATCCTCCTCTCTGAAAAAGAAATTTTGTCCTAGGAAGACTTGTAAAAATTATATTGGTGAATAATAGTTATATAATTTCATTAAAATATATTTCATGGGTTTAATTTGTTTTTTTCATTGGATAGGATAGCTTCAACATTTGTCTTGAATTATAAGAGATATAGTAAATCTAGTATGTAGTCATGAATGTCACTCAGATGGCTTTACTATAGAGTATGCATGGACAACATGGACTAAATATTAAAGCTTTTAACCAATTAGTGTGAATGCATTTTAAAGTACCAATAATGTAAGATATAGAATGTTGTAATCCAGAGCAGCAATTTAAGGTAAATATAAATTATACTTTGAAAATTGGATTACTAGTGTTACAGAAAGGTGGCTCAGTAGTTAAAAGTGCAAACTGCTATTGCAGAGAAGTTGAGCTCAGTTTCAACTTTCACAACAGGTGGTTCTCTGTGTTTTATTCTATCTCCAGGGGACTTGACATCCTCTTATGAACTCTGTGGCGACGTGTACTAGTGTTCACATATCTATATACACATCAATACATATACAAATAAATTAAAAAAAAATACTTCATTAAAAATGAAAAGAACAAAACTTAAGACATTGAAAAAGAAAGCTGGGTTAATACAAGTACAAGATGAAATTTTTTAAAAAGAATTTGAAGTGATGACTCACATGGTGCTTTCAGAAAGATGAAATATACTCTCTGGCCCACTAGTAGATGATTAATGATATAATGTATCCATCAAAAGGCATGACCATTTAGAAAATAAATACTGTTGCAGATGGTCACAATGCAAGAAGCCCTTCTCTGAGTAGTCTTGATCACTGTCATTCAGGAATGCACCACCCAATTTGCGTCTGTACTCACTGTGGTCAGCTTGGGGGACTGGATGGTAGATACCTACCCTTGAGTCTCAGCATGATACTGGTTATTGGCAGAAGAAAAAAGTATACCCTTGAAGCTTGTGACTGGTACATTTGGACATCATGCACACACTCACACATACAGACACACAGACACACACACATACACACGAGGGAGAGAGAGAGAGAGAGAGAGAGAGAGAGAGAGAGAGAGAGAGAGAGAGA